AATTATCCCATTATCAGTGCTTAATCCGGGGTAACTAGAAAAATTACAATCCCCTTAAATGAAAATAATATGGAAACAAATTCCCTCCGCCTTATCGCACTCTCGCGTCGTCGATGTTGATAATGGACATCCGTATTATAAGGCACACGACCACCTAATAATTGAAACATTTCGCATTAATTTGCCATTTCAAAAATGCGATGATGCACTTTGCCTTTCGATAAAACGACAGGCGAAAGAACGAGCGCGATCAAGAGTCAACGATTTCTCGCAGTTTTCCATCACAGACGGTATAGTATTTTTTCATAATAGTCTATCTCGATTTCGATGATTTAATAATAAAAAAACGTGGCGAGGAACTGCGGCGAGTGGTGGAGGAGGAGGAGGAGTAGCAGGGGGAAAAGGAGGAGGAGGAGGAGGAGGAGCAGGAGGTAGAATACGTGGGGCCGAAGGGGAGTTCGGTGGAGGTGATGGTGGCGGTAAAGGAACAGGGTGGGGGGAGTAGGGAGGAAGACGCATTATTAAAAGGGTCATCTCGCATTACACACGGTCGGCGCGTAACGGGCCGGCGATTTATTTTTCCTGTCGGCGGAGGCGCGCGCGCGCGTGCGCACGATGCGTCATATACAAGGCTGATAAACTGCCGAGGCCGTGACGGAGAGTCGAAAGGATGACGCAAGGAGACAATGGAATTCTGAAATCCTCTTATGTGCTTGGAAGTACGGTGCATGCGGATGTTAAGGGCAATATTTTGCGGACCCGGCCATGTTGATTGCGATCAATTAATTGTGGGCTTTCATTAGCATGTTGAGGCTTGCGAGCGAAAGTAGAGGCACGAAAGCGCGATTTCGATGTGCAAATATATGTGAATGTGCTTTACAAGTTCTCCGTGGCGTTGGAATACTTGGCATTGTGCATTGATAATAGGGACTTTTAAATTACGATCAAATTATTTAGAAGAAGTCGGAACCTTTGATTTGATTTTTCTTTCCGTTGATGTCGGCGATAAAAGTGATGAAAAATAAAATGAAAGACAGAAAAATAACGAATGAAGATATAGCAAACTCAAACACGTAACTCATACTTACGATATTTTTATGAATTCGTTGTGTACTGTATGCCCAACAACATAATAAATTGGATTGAGTGGATTCAATTAAATACTTGATCTCTTTATGAAATTTTCGACTTAAATGGTTAAGGCTTTATTGAAAATGCTTTTTATTATCGAGACTCCATTAACAATGGAATTTAATGTAAAAATTCACACTGATTATTAAGGATTGGTTATGAATTAGCAAAAATTGCAATTGGTTATAACGATTTTCTAATAGCGATAAAAAAAAAGCGAAAATAGCGATTTTATATGTTTATAAAATTCAAAATATTTTGCTCCTTAGAATTAAGTTTATAATGTACGTCTATCAGTGATAGCCTTAGTACATCTATTATAAAGATTGTCAAGTAAATGTTAAACGTTCTTTTTCACTTTTATCAATAATACGATATAATAATAATAATAATAATAATAATAATAATAGAATTTACTATTCTTCAATAATATTAATTGCTTGAACAATTAAGCTTTGTTTTGAAAAAAGTATCTCAAACCTTATAATTACATGAATCTCAAGTACGTAAAGTAGCACTTTTTCATTTTCATTCTTAAAACTACTTGAACGATCAGTCCATAACAAATAATCTCAAATTCAGACGTTTATGAAAGTATTAAATTTATAAATCTGTGTACATCTATTTTCTTAACTGGCAGAACTCTGGTTACTTTTTTCTGAAATTTGATGCGATCTTATCGAACAGATCCCTCCCGCAAAGAGTGGTATACACATTTGATTTACCGGCTAGTGAGACAAAGAGTGAGACAGACAGAGAGGGTGAGCGGGGGGTGGAGGGGGAGGAGATGCGAAAGAAAGTGAAAGAGCAAGATGAAAGAAAGTAGATAGTGTGCATTTGTGTATACTACGTGGTAAAAGTAAAGAAAACAAGATCGGCAAAAGGTTGAATAAGAGCGAGAAAGAGTCACAGACGAGAAATTTTTTTATTATTCTTGTGGTATAAGCCTTAACTGAGAACGGTCGTACATTATTCCCATTGTACTTTTTTTTATTTTTTTTTTGTTTCCCTGTTCTTTAATTCTTCTTTTTTACTCCGTAACGTCTTAACTGCTGGACGCTCCACGCGTAGTCCAACTCGGTGAAATTATCGAGAATTGAACAAAATATGTACATAATGTATTATCGCGAGGGCACTCTCAATCGTTACGTTTTACGTAAAATAATCAAATTACATACCCAAGTTTATGCGCGAGCTACTCGTAATCCTCAAATTGCCGAAGGCTTCGATTACGTTATCCGTACTTGCAAAAACGAACTTCCAATGAAAATTAGTTGGTTTATAATTTGACTAGCCCAGAAATTAATTTAGCATGCAGTGAAATTATGGCATGTCTGCCTTAATTACTTTGAAAATGAAAAGGCTCGTCTGCTTAGATAGAAAACGTATTCCTATACCTTGATCGTTATATTTAATTTTCATCGTTATTTAACAATTTATAAATAAGCGGTTTTTAAATTCTTAAAATATAAATAAACAGGCACAACCACCAATAGGAACTGCTATTTATTAATAAAATATTTTTACATTAATTTCAACAGCTGTAAAATACATTGTCCTTAAAATCCCTAATTATAACTATATTATTCTAATCTCTTAATCCGTAATACAAGATCATATAATTATATTGTTAGCAAAATTTGCTGTTACAATTTTTACTGCGAAAAATTTGAATTATTTTAGAGAGATCGATTAAAAAAAAACTAACAATTTGGAATTGCAAAGTTGAAAATTCATTGTGAACAACGGATAACGATGTATCACTCACGTTACACTATAATTGAAGTCGACAATATTCCCAATTTTACATCATTCACTATTTATCTCGTGCTCCAAACTATCCGTATATCCATCTAAATCTAAGTTATACCTTAATTATACCTGTTTGTACTGAAAGCCTTTGGTATAAAATCCCCATTAAAATAAAGTACAACGGAAGCATTAAAGTGCAGACGACTTAATAATTAAGCTTCGTCATTACTTCTAACGTAATATTAATTACACGTCACTACATTGGACAAACACTTTTCCTCCCTCTTCCAATCGCTTGAAATCCGAATAACATCTAAGGCTAAATGGATGGGCAGTGTGATGATGGTCGGCGCATTTGGTCGGTGAGGCGCGAGAGCACGTGAGGAAGAGAGATATATCTCACGCATACCTGTCGACACTGCCACCAAAGCGCTGATTTACATCGGCATAAATCAGCGAGTGAGCAAACGCGCGCGACTATAACGTGAATTGCTACGAGGTGTAACTATAAGCTCGCCAACCTGAGAGCAAGAAGAAAGTTGTAGGTCGGCGGACTACTGACGCAAAGTACTAACGTAACATATTTGCTTCGGGGATATGGCAGTGCGATCGATTTTTCTTCTTATCTTTTTCGTTATGCTAATTCGCAATTTTACTCACTGCTTTAATAAAAAATTCAAAAGCTTTTTTTCTCATCGTCTGGGAGTACGATGATCTTTTCTATTTTTATTATTGAATGTTAAGATATGCTGGTATTTAAAGCTCTGTGCCTCTGTTTATATAAAGAAATAAAAAGTTATTAAATGTTGGAGTATGTAGCTTTAACTTTCTAAATACACATTGTATTTCTATGATGGGAATCGCATAGTTTGGAAGAAGAAAGTGTTCATTTACAGTGCTTTGTTGCCCTCAAATCGCACCTTCGATTACAATAAAGCACAATCTAAAAAATAACAAATAGATCGAGTGACTTTTTTGTTACTGCAAGAAGTATTTCGTAATGAAATAATTAAAATTTCGTCCTAATAGTGACTCGAACCGCAAGGTGGCGAAAAGTATTGACATTTGACATTTTTTTTATTGAAGAAGGGATTCGTTATATTGACCTCCTCGATCTAAAATAAATAATATTTACTATATAAATTTAGTATAATGCCATTGAATTAAATATATATATAAATATTTTTATAACGTATTTTTAAATGGAAGTACAAAGTTAGATTTCTATTATTTATTCAACGTCCAAGGATTTCACTTTTAAAAATTTGCTTTTAGCAAAAAAATTAATATTTACGTAATAAAAAGGTTTTAACATGATGTTTAACTTCAAATTAGCACTAATTTATGATGTTAATATCTTAATTAATAATATTAAATATTGCACGAATAATCCAAAACAGTTCCAATGTAATAATTCATAATGTAACAATCATTGTATTTCCTAAATAAATAAAAATACAATCAAATATATTAATATGAAAATAGATGAGATACGTAAATATGTGCATTTACGTGAATGCATTATCAAAATATTGGAAAGATCACACTTGTACCGCAATAACTTTTTCATTTTGTTTTCCGTATTTAAATGCTCGTATAATATATATAAAAAATATATATAACTATTTAATACCTAATAAAACAAACAACTGTAATTCCTTTATCGTACAATGTTATATGCATTTATCGAAAAGAGAATATAAATTCGAGGACAATTAGGAATATTATATATTTGTTTCAGAATCTTTTTTATATTTTACTACAATAAAATCAATAAACTTAAGATTTTCCTAGGATTAGTATTAAACGAGAGTTCAGATACTGCTAGGCAACACTAGCATTTCTAATATTTTCGCATATTTTCTAGTACTATCTCAATATTTTCTTTTAAGCTTGAAACAAATTATTCAGCTAATTATTAATAAAATTTTTGTATTATAAAACTGCACCGAGAACGTAATTTTTATTAACATTAAACTACACAATGTTTCTTGATTTGTATGGATATCCATATTAATGGAAAATTTTTAATTTCACCGATCAGCCAAGTCATATTTATAATGATTAATTTTAATAATAAAAGATGTTTCATCTAGATTTTAATATTAATAACTTACCTCTTTAAGGGGTACTTTGAAAGCTAACAATTTTGTTCCAACGATAACGTCTCCATAAGGTTCGTAGTTTAACCATCTACATAATAAAGAATATAGTTTATGTGTACACATGATAACTTGTTTCTTTAATTCAATTTAAATTTCGCGGTGCATTTATGTGCCATCTAACAAATTTTCCATTTATCAATAATATTTATTATACCAGTAGTGGATAAAACAGATGAGACTGCGGTTAAACCCACGTCAGTACCCAGTATGAAAATAAATTATAAACGTTTTTAAGAATTTATAAAGAAACTTGCTATAATCTTAAATCAGCATCTCACTTTTATTCTAAATATAAATATAATTAAATGATAGAGAACGAGTTATACGTAAGCGGCAATACTTTCTAAACATAACCTCGAATTATAGCTACTACTTTGGAACGTTAAGTGCTAGACTTTATACGTTGTTTATCGAAAATATATTATTGAAATTTTGAACTCTAGTCTACTTGCCTTTCCGGTATAGATTTTGTCATCTTGAATATATTTTCCCATCCACTTTTTAAGAAAACAAATTAATAATACGATTACACCAACACTAGTTACATGCAACCAAACGACAGACGCCCCCTCACGGATTTTTAAAAGTTTTAAACTTTTACGATCGATATTTCCTTGTCCCTTTTTTTTCATTTTTATTAAAATAATCAGAATTTTAAATTGTGCATTTTAAACTATGCAAATTATTTTATGTAATAATTAAATGATTTATATAAAAACTAAATTAATAATTAAACACATTATGTTAAAAAAAAAAATATATATATATATATATATATATATATATATATATACATATGTGCATACATGCATGCATATGCGTCAAAACATAAATGAGAATATTATTAGCGATTAATTTTTAAACACCCAAGTTTGTTACAGAGTTTATTAAACTCAAATTTTTTAAACTTTCGTTCAGAGTTTTTTTAAAACTTACAAAGTTTGAGGCAAATTTATTTAGTTATATAATTTAATAATTTTATTTACATTGAAAAAATCTTAAGCTATGATTTTTCACATATAAAGTAGTTTCATTTATAAATAATTTTAAATAATTTATAATAAATGATAAATTCATTAAATTAATATTGAAACAAATATTGATAAATTCAATTCATCTCATCTTAGATGCTACCATTGTCCTTTGCTGACATTATTTAATGTTAACTCGTTGGACATTGCACGTCTCCTTCTTTCATGACTTTCAATTGTGATAACATGTTAAAAACTTTCTTTTCCATATCAAGAAGTTTTGGAGGTTTTTTGTACTGGAAAGAAAAAATATCCATTAACTATTATGATAATAATAAACAATAATAACCTAATTTATTTAAAAATGTAAGACACTGAGATGAAATAGTATCGATAACTAGTTAATTTTTAAAATAAACGATTTTTTTAAAACTAATTTTATTTCTTTCTTGACTCAGCTGTAACTGTGTTAATAATAATATTTATTTTTACTTTCTTATAATGAACTTACCGTTATTATTAACGTATTATACTGATGTGCGATAGATATTCTCTCTTGCTCTGGTTTCAATCCTGCTCGTTCTAAATCTGGTACTATTAGCTTTTTAAAATATTTTTTATTGCTTGTACGCACAATTATTGTTCCGTCATTCTCTGTTGTGATGGAATATACATCTTTGGGATATGGTAAATTTCTTATTCTCCATTCTAAGGCAGTTTTGGTGATTCTTCTTGCAACAATTGGCTAAAAATTGTAACAATATTGCTGATATATTAGTAAATGTTGTAGCACTAATAAAATTGTTTTATACCAAATAGACATACAGCGCTTGAGCTTTCACGGATGCCTACAGCGTCAAGATTATCCTTGGGTAAATCTGGATCACCGACTTCAACAACCCATCCAATTTCTTGTCCTAACTTACCCTTTTCTTTCCATGCTCTTTTTACAAGAACGTTTGTGTCCATATTATACTCCTCTACCATTTCTTTTCCATCTTCCATTAAAAAATGTATTTTTCTTTTACCTGGTATGGAAATATTAAATTTTGTATGCACTGCATTTAATAAATATAACAGTATTATAACTAAACATAATTATAAATAAAAATCTTATTTATCCTAAACTGGTAGATCCTGTTACAGAGTAAAAAAAAACCTAAGAGGAATAAAAAAATAATTAGTAATTTTAAAGTAAATTTATAATTTTGGTACTTCATTATTAATTTATTATAATTATTTATACATTTTTTTTCATTAGGATTTATCTTCTTTTTTTTTTTTAATATAGATGGTAATTAATGGGTAACATGTCTCAAAAGTCAACAAACAACTTTACTATTATTAGTAATAATTTATTTGTTGTTGCCGAAATGCCGGTATCGATCAAACATTTAGGTTAATCGAGTCACTTACATTTCGTTTCGTTGTCATTTAAAAATTTTTTTCGCATATAAATTATTTCATTAGTAACTATTAAAATTGACAGAAGAATTAATTGTTTAATTACCGTCTTGGATAATCGCCGTCTTTTTCGCATTCTGAAGAGCACTCAACCATTGTTCATCTGACATATTAAAAATTTTTCGTTATTTGAAGAATGCTATTATAATATAACGTGTGAAAGTGGGATCCAATAGTTTCAGAATTTCATACTTCAATCTTATCGAATTTCGAGCTATCGAAAATTCATGAAATTACTACTGTCTGATGACTGATTTTTGAATTTCATTTCATACGTAACGAAACGAAAAAAGTGAGAAAAAAGACTAGAAAAAATAAAAAAAATTTTTATATATGCTTCTTGAATTGAATTCTTATAATTTTTCTAAAACAAGTTCGCCGATCAAATGATATAATATTTTCTAATACATCGAATTTGCAAACAATGAGAAAATTTCTTATTTATATTTATTTACGATTTAAGGGACTTGTTACAAAATTCATCTTTATTAGACGTAATTAGTAATGTAAAAGTACACGGATTTATATTTTTCGCAAAATTTAGAAGTTTGCCGCTAATTGGCGAAATACGGGGTTCTTTAAACGCTTGTTTTAAGCGCTTCATTAAGCCGCGTATAATTTAAATAATATTGAAATAATATTGAAAATTAAAATTACCTTTGAATGTAATTTTCTAATGCAAGTATACAGAAATTGTTTTTAATAATTCTATGCAAAAGAAATAGTTGAACGTATTAATTTTATCGCCAACATTATTTAAACTCGTATTGTGGCAATTAACAATGTTATTTAAAATCTAACATTAAAAAGATAATATAAAAATTAGCTTCATTAATGTTATACTCAAGGTATGTAATTATGAAAATAATCTGTTAAAAATCTATTGATCTATTGATTTATATATGATAATTCGATCGGATCCGATAGAACACTTTTTAAGTCTTACGTATTTGAACAAATCAAAATTATTTATTGTTATGTACAAAAATTGGGGGTACATATTTCGTAGGTAATTTTCTGAGAATTTGTGAAAAAAATTATTTCTCTTCGGATGCACGTGAGTAGATAACGGCGTAGATTGTTCTCGTAGATCATAAAACAGGAGAATTCGGAATTAAGATTAGAAAGAGAAAGATAGTGGACTATTATTTCTTGTTTGGCCAATAGGCTCACATTTCATCTATTTTTGTTTAAATATTCTAACCTTTGAAATATCAGCAAATATTTTGATAACGTAAAGTGCCTAAGTTTCCTTATCCTTAAAAGTAAGATTAATAATTTGTGAATTTACATTTATTATAACAAATACAACATTTTTAGGTTTTTTTTTTTATAAAAATGAGTCACATTGTTGTCATTAGAGCGTACAAGCAAGGAGACGAGCTTAACTGTCACGAGGTTATTAAGGATGGAGTTATCTCCTCATTAAATAGTGCCTTTGTTGGCAATCTTCTCAAAGAAATAACGTTCCAAGTAATGATTTTGTCGGCCGCGGTCATGTTTATATTTTTTGGGATGCCATTCACCGTATGTTTGTTAGTTGTACCCATTGTTGTAATAATGACCTATATTGGTACATATTTAGCATTTACTTCCAAAGTTATGGAGGTAAATCAAGAAATATCGAATATTGCACGGCAAGTACAATTTTAACAGCTTATAAATTATTACAATTTCATTCGTTATGAATTATGAATGAATTCGTTGTATAATATTAATAGATCATAGATTATAATAGATCATTTTAATTAAGTTTATTGTTTTTTAATTTGCAAATTATTTACATTTTGTTTGGTTACAAATGATCAAAACAAAATAATTTTATCGACAGGATTTATATGTCAAATGCATTTTCTTGTTTTTGGGTAGCAGAAGCATTTGAACCTTATTTAATGAGTCGCAATCCTGCAGATGTTTATTATACAGTAATGAATGAAAAAAAATTTCGAGAATCAAATATCGATGTATCTTCGCAAAGTAAAAGAATCGTAGGGAGTATTGGTTTGTTGAAGAGTCACAGTCTTGACAAGGGAGCTTGGATTAAACGTCTCTGTGTTCATAAACATTATCGACGCAAGGGTATAGCATCTTGCCTTTTAAATGTAGCCGTCAATTTTGCTATTAAACAAGGTTACAGCTGCGCAAATATAGTTGCGTCAGAATATACCGAAGGTGGCAGAGAATTGTGTCTTAAAAAGGGATTTGAATTGAAACAAATGTATCACAAACCTATCCTTGGGTCGTTGATTACAATTTTAATGTACGAGCTTACTTATCAAATTAAGCCTGGAGACGATAACTATTTTACTGTTTCTAAAAAGCTATTTTCATTTTGATGAGAAAAATATGTTATAGTTTTGTAAGATTGAGTAAGCTTAAGTACGAATAACTAAAAGATATTTAATATTTGCTATAATTCAATAAGTTTCACGATCAAGAAAGTACTTAGACAAATCACGAAGCTGCTTTTATACACCAATTTAGAAGCAATTTTTCTATTTGACATTAAGTTACAAATATGGTAAAATAAGATCAATGTTTATACAACAATTTATTTTATTTTTTTTTAAATTATTCATAATAGTTACATTGCTCTATAAATTGCATTCATCTGTTATATAAATAAAGCAATTATCGAGAATCTGAGAATCAGATCGAGATTTGATTAGAGCTTAACAGCTTTCCAATATTTTTCGAGCTCAACTCCCTCCCAATGTTTATTTGAAAGTCTTGACAGATACCTACATTAAATGTTGATTTAAATTATTAGATTTGTTAGTGACATAAAAATCAAAACAAGTATAATAAAAATATAAAAAGCAAAATTGATGCAGTAATCTCAAATCAATATAATTGCAGAGCTGTACGATATTAGAGTTCTTTGTTTGGATGGTTAATGATAATAGGTAAACTAAATCCTTAATATAACAACTGAGAATTGATGACTAATTGTATCTATAAATAACTAAATGCTTCTAGATAATCTATTTAACAATAATTATATATATTCAATCATTTTTTATTTTCAACTATACTTAAGTAAATTAATCTTACAAAATTATCCAAATGTCGCATTCAGATGTATAATATCATATTATTTAGCTTTAATTTTTAAAATATATTATTATTATTAGTAGAGATGAAGTATTAGTCATGTTGACACAAAATATTGGTGATTACTTTAACAAAATTACTTTTGTGTACATACTTTTCTTTTATATGATCTATGTGATCTTTTTCTTTCTCGGTTATTCCATTGATAGTCACATCTACATTGATGTTTAACTCCTGACAATTTTGCATACCAACCAAATGTGTATCAATATCTGTACATTGTAAAGAGTGCCAAATTGCCAATTTTGCCAATTCCACGTTGTTATCCTAATAATGTTTATAAAGATGAAATTTACAAAATAAGATAAATTTCTTGGTAATAAAATAGAAATGTGATTATTACATCTTAACAGATAAATATAATATATATATATATATATAAAAAATGTAATAAAATGTATATCGATTTTAGTGATAAATTTATAGTAAAAAGGCAAACTCAATTCAATTGAAATTTAAAGTCTCAAGTATGAAATTTATACGTGCTTTGCAGTATTGTCCAGCTTCTTTACAAATTTTCTTTACGTCATCGTCAGCTGGATGCCAGACTGGAACTTCTCTACTAGATAAGAGTCCCATGCATGATGCTGCAGCACTTATAATTCCGACATTACGTTCCTGTAGTCATTATAAGTTATTATATATATTTCTATTTACTATTGCCCGCTTAAAAACATACGATAAATTAAATGTTAATTAATTATAATTACAAATTATTTGAATTAGTAGAAAATAGCTGAGCAATAACGAAAATTTAATCAATACATATATATCTGAAAATAAAAAATATTTTGCGAGAACATTTATAAAAAAAATTACAGTATCTTTTGTACAAAAAAATATTTGAGAATTTTTAGGGGAGAGAATATTTAAGAATATGCAAAATATTATCAGTTTTATGATTGATTTTATGTGAAACCAATGATATAAGGAATATCATTCCAAATTCAACAGCCTTTAAATTGCAATTGTTATGATTAAGTTGGAGAATACTTTTCTCAACAATTTGTTGCGATTATAGGCTTAATTCAGCAACAGCTCATTAAATACGAGAAAACAAGGGCACCCCCCCCCCCTAATGTATAATACCTTGAAAAATGGAATGTATTGAGACAGGGTATCATCGATCAATGTAAGTCTCGCGTAACTTAGTACGCAGGCGATTCTAATATTGCTTTTCTCAATGCACTCTTTAAGAATGGAAACGGGATAGCCAGTGATACCGATGTGCCTTGCACGTCCTTGAGCCACTTGACGCGACAGCTCCGGTAGCGTTTGCGTTAGGATGATGTCCAAGGATGGCGCGAACTCAATGTCGTGGACCTAGAATAATATTATTAATAATAACGTTCTCAAAATAGGACGTTTCGTTTATTAATTTATTGTGCTTCATGCTGTGTACCGTTCGTTGGGCACACTTGTTCGTTGAAAGTAACGCTTTTAGTGTAAAATATATTTAATGATCGAGATAAATAATAAGTTACTCTTGTGATATAAAAACAATGTATAGTATAATAATTTAATAAGAATAGTTAATTTTATATATGAGAACTTTGATTGTATGTATTGTGTGATAGATGACTTATTTCATATAAAGTTAAATACTTGAACTTTTATTTTATATAATGTAATGAATTGCAGAGAAATTGTAATTATTATGTGGACATGTTACTATCGTTGAAACTATTAATAAAATTACTTGTTTGTTTTTCGTACATTTGAATTATATTGTATAACCGCATTAGACCTTTATTTTAGTTATGGAACGCTATATTTATTTATGAATTTAGAAATCTTAATTGTTACTTATACTATATGCAATTATAGGATATGAAATTTTTTATGGAAAAAATGCATACTGACTTGAATGATATCGATGTAAGTGAGTTGAAGGAGTTTTAAACTCTTTTTTACGCTTTGGCAAGTTTTTTCTGTCGTAAAGTCAAACATATGTTCATAGTCTAATCCATATCTTCCAACTTTAGTAGCTATGTAATAAGCTTGACGAGGAACTTTTTTAAGTGCCTATTGAAATTTCACATACTTAATACGGCTAAATAATAAATCATACGGAAATATTTCTTTAATAAAAAAATAATAATATAGGGAGGGAGTAAGAATTACGATAATAAATAAATTAATGAACAGTTCACTTAATGTCGATTTTTATGAATTCATCATAATATTGCTTTTATATAAATGATATGTTATTAGGGTATTATATAGTATATAAATACTTATAATTTGATATAATAAATGGGTTATTGAATTAATATTACTCTTTATTTGCATTATTTTTCAAATTCTAATGGCTTAAGCGAAAGTTTTCTTTTATCTTAATATTCAATTTTTAGTTTTCGTTCTTGTTTTCATCGAATTTCAAAAGATATTCAATTTATAATACTTATTTTTTAACACTTTGAAGTAGAATGCTGTAGAAATATAAATAAACATTTCTCAAATACCTTTCCAAGTATAGTTTCAGATTTGCCTTGTCCATAATAATAAGCAGTATCGATATAATTTATTCCATTTTTTATTGCAGTTATAATTAATCTAATGCCTTCTTCTTCGTCAAATTCTCTATAATAATGTGTTTTGAATTTTAATAATTTTTAGGAAAATGTAATAAGTTAATTCATTATTTTACATAATCTAATTTTACATTATAATTATATTATAATTATTTAATTAAAGTTTTTTGTATTTTAAATAAACATGGCGATACACTTTAAGCTAGAAATTGAAAAATAATAAATAGTAAATACAATAAATATTATTTTTGGAGAATGACAGCTACATAGTTACCCATAATGACATCCCAAAGGTGCACCACCAAGTGATAATCTGCTTACTTTTAAACCAGTATTTCCTAATACTTTATATTCCATTAACTTTACCGCTTCAAGGTTGTGAAAACCTTCAACGTATGTTGGCGGTAAATCTACCCTGTAATAGTATATTATTAATATAGTAATATAAATAGTATATTTATTAATATGTTAAGAGGAACACACAATACATTTAATGTACATTAGATATAGAGCATATTAAATTGGATTAATTAGGGGTAAATTTCTTTCGTGGCCTCTAATAATTCAAAACCAGAAAGACAAAAATTATGATGTTACGGATAACGTCTGTCAAAATGGAAAAATTTTGTTAATGTTTTAATCAAATAAGAGGTACGCCATCCAATATAAATTATATAAAAATATTTTTATAAATCCATATTTTATAATATATTTCAAGGTGATTCGAGATTTCAAGCTAATCTAAGCTGTCATATATTTTTGATTATGAGCCGAACAAAGGTAAAAAATACGTTGGACCGCTATCTCTATATTTATTTATTTTCCATTATAATTCATTTATTTGTGAAAAAATTCGATAGACAATAACAATTAATATTTAAGTATTCAATAATTTATTCATATGCCATTAAAATTTATTAAATGCTATTCAAATTATTTTTAATATTATTAATATAATTAATGTTATCCATATTTAAAGATTTATTTAAATGCCATTAAAATTTTATTGTATTAAAATTGTTTTTATAAATGTTCTTGTATATTCGACGATTCTTCATTAGAATTAAAATATCTGTAATTTGAATTACGTTCGTGATAAGCAATAGATAAAATAATTAAATATTGCACCATATATTAATTGACTTCGTTTAAGAAGATTTTAATTGAGAAAATAAATTTTATATTGTTAATTTACTATTTTATATGTATATAAAATTTTTATTTTTAAATTAATGAATATGAACGTTTCCAATGGTAATAATATGGTACTTGATCATGACTTTTTTTTATTTTGTTTACATAAAATATAAAAAATGCACAATATTTTTTACATAACTTGTCACTGAGTATTGATAACTGAAAATATAGTATTATATTACATTTTATTAATACTAGTTTTTACAAATAATCATAAAATCAATACATCGATTATTATATTATAAATAGTTAGGATTTATTTTTATGGAAATTGATGGTTCGAAAAAAATGTATGAAACTTCAATTAAGAAAGACTTAATTTCATGTTTTAAAACTTGTTGCGTTCGCGGTTTAAGTTTTTTAATATTTGATTTTATTTCAGATGATACAATCCCGTTACCTTGACATTTCAGTATTTCTTAAATACTAAAACACTAATGATGCATTCATCATTGAATAATAAACAAACTTATGTATCTTGTTTTGCAAATAAATTCACCGAATGCTTATTCTTGTTAGATTTCCTTTTAACGATTGCAAAATTTATATTTCTACACGATTTAAAAAGAACTAAAATTTTCCATATACAATATTGATATTAATTTATGAACTTACGATAAATTAAAAATTTTGTTACTTAGCGAGACCATAACTCATTGAATAATTAGTAAGCGAGTAGGAAAAATAATTGGAATATTGTTATACTTGAAATTATTGTTTGATAACAGAAGAATAATAAACTTATGGATTACGTTGATTTCCCAAAGTTCGACTGTTCGGTATTGCCATCTAACGAATATTTTTAAAACTTTTGAACAACACTTGATTGATAATAAATGCATAGTCGGTAACTGCATTATTAATTGTTAAACACTTTATGAATTCATTAATATTGTAATTTATAAATAGCCTGTTATTAGTGATGCAGTGATAAAATAATTTTAATAAAAGAATTATAACATTTATATTAAATATTTTGAAAAAAATTAGCAAACTGAAAACTTCTATTCAAATCAGAATTACGATTAAAATTAATTTTTATAAATAATAATTTTTATGCTGTTTATATAATATTAAAACATTAATTATTTTGCAATAATTTTGTTAAAAAAAAAATTAATTTATTTTACAAAAAATTTATTTTTCAATACATTTTAATCATTTTAAATAAAACGTAAAAACAATTAATAATCCCACACAATAATAACTTGTATGGGTTGTATTATAATTAGGCTTATTAATAAATGATTATCAATAATTTCTAATTTACTAATTATCATTAAAAATTTCATATCTGAAGATATCTTCCATTCTGAATTATAATTTTTTAATAATTGAAACAAAAATTAATATTCTAATATACTATTTAATGCGCTTAATTTTATGATTTACGGACATTTTTACATATACAAAATATATTTACATTTACAATATTATATATATTATATATAATTATATTTCCGTGGATTGTTTTTATATACTGTAATACAAGTTTTCATTGATATTTCAAAATGTAATTATGAATGATAGATCTATAATTGACAAAAATTATTTTATATTTAATTAATAATTGAATTGGAATAAAAGAATATGTAATTCAAAGAAATATAAATGTTTTTTTTTATTATAAAGTTAAAAAAGTTATTCGCTACTGATTCTATAAGAATAATTTTTACTACACAACATGTAACTACGTATTCTGTATGTGTCGTTGTTTCACGATTATTAAATAATGATAAATCTTATTTATGTCAGATTTTCTTACAAGCTTAATAATATTAAATAAGATGTTACGTTATATAAGTCATTTAAATACACTTAAAAACTACCTATATGACACTTATAATATCCGAATATAATATTACACAAAAAGGCTCTTTTGTTGAATAAGAATATTTTTAAAAAGAATAATTACAATTTCTTCCATTCATGTAAAACATTCTTTGCGTTAAATTTATAACGTATACAGGTATAATTATAATGTTTAATAAAATAATTACATTTATGTTTACTTTAGTGATATGCCATGTGCCTCAGGCATAAGAAATTGTCATTAGAGCGTACACTGTTATTTTCACTTTCTCAGATATATGTAAAAACTATTGCTACAGCAATTAATTTATGAAAAATAATAAATGTACCTATATCTACTTTTTTTTAAAATTATAAAATATAAGATATAATCTTTTAAAAATTCATGTAGTTCGTTCACCTTTAAGTTACATAATCTACTAATGTCATGACACTGTTTTAATTATGTTTTGTTTATATTATTGAATAAACGTTTTCTTTCAAAGAGTTTCCAAAATTTTGAGTATTTATATTTTGAGTTTTTATATCATTTCTAGTACAACCTTTTTTATCTTGATTTCGTCAGTTTTAAATTTTAAATCAATTCTGCAAATCTTTTATATACCAAGCCATGCCTATTTATACTAAAATTGTGTTGATACAAAAGATAGTTTATTTACTGTTTTAATCTATTTTCTACAAAGAAGAAAAACTTATGACTAATGCTATAAGATATTTTTAAGTATCCTGAACCTTAGCTTCCGCTCTATTTGAATCCAATTAATAATTGTGACAATTAAAAGCAAATGAGTCCATTATTTAAAAATTAAAACGATAATGAATGCAAAGTGTTTGAACAGAAAATGTAACTGAAGCATTCTGTTTACTTATCAAATATTTACATTTCATTTCACTCAGTTTCTTCAATTTTTTAGAAACCTGTTTTTATAGGTGCTTAATTATATTTTAAATATGAATGATAAAATATTTATGTCTAATAGCAGACTAAGAATATATCAAATACATAAATAATAAATTATATAATATAATCAATTATGAAATATAAAACTTATAAATTTACGTTTTAGAAATGTTTATTATGAATTTATATTAATATTAATTGTTTATATTAATATTTAGTGTTAAATAAAAATTTATTACAATTATTAAAGACATTCAAATAATACTATATGAATATAAATAAATTTATTTTATAATTTTTTCTTTTCTTCTTGCTCTAATCTTTATGAATAACAAATAAATTGTGCTTAAAATATACTTACATTTTCTATTCCAAGGATAAATTAATAAATATAAAATTATGAAATCGTTCAAATTTATTGCAAAAGTTTGACCGGCTTCGAGGACGTGAATCTATCCTGCACACTTATTCACCTCTTACTTCATGCAGACCAGCAGCCTGTAGATATGCACTGCTATGCGTAAATGTGGTACCAAAATAAACAATAAATATTGTGGAGGTGGAACAGAGAGATAGAGATAGATATAGAGATAGATAGATAGATAGATGGATAGAGAGAGAGAGAGAGAGAGAGAGAGAGAGGTGATCAAGATAATTTGATATGGTATTCGTGCATTAAGCAGACAGTAATAACGTCGATGTAGTAGTTAAAAAAAAGACTGTTTAAGGCATACAAAGTGATTTTAAAGGTAAAGTTAAGTACAACGAGTGCTACCCTTTTTTGGCCTATCAAAGAGTTAAGTCAGCCTACAGAACTTTTATATAGAACCGTTTCGATTAATTCTTGTCAATTGTTGACATCGATAGAATTGGCTTCGAAATTGCGATAATGAATTTTCTCTTCGTTCGACTTTAGTTTGTAGAATGGAAAACGCCATTATAAACTGAAGGTAACTGGCTCTTCATTCAAAGGCATTAACTTTTGAATTGATTTGAAAAGGAACTTTATAATGTTTAAGATTCTTTAAGAAAAAATAAGTAAGCTTTTGCAGCTAAGTACAGTTGTAAAATCGTTATTGTTTGAAACGTGCTTTTACTCATTTTTATCAAAGAGTTTTGCAATAAAATACTTGTTTTCTAAACGGTTTCAATGAATAAGCTTTGCATTATTTAGTTCCATATATAAGCTCCAATTTTAGCCGATTAATTGACGCATCAACTACCACTTTATTTTATGATAGGTGGAGGACCTATAATTAATTGCGTACATATGTCGGTTACAGAATAGTGGCAGCGTGTCAGATAACGATATTATAATGTATAGCCTTAACGGCTTTTTGTCTGGTTACATAATTTACTTGATATACGAATAAGCAATAGCAAGTACCTGAAGTGCCACGTTGCAGAAATCTTGGGAAGCTGTGGATTTGCAATCTAGATCGATTGTTTTTTTTTTTTTTACGTACTTTTGTGTTTGATATCTTCGTACAATTATACAATGTATACAGAATGTTTATAGTCAGATTAATGTAATAACGATGTGGCTATTTGCAAGATTTAATATTCCTCGATTAAATTATATTTTATTTTATTAGTTTTAAATGAATTAATTTGTGATATATATATATATATATATATATATATATATATATATATATATACATGTATAGTCATCGAGTATATTTGTAATTCAGTGACAATGTTGACAATTTCCAATGGATTTTGAGAAATACTTATTATATAATACCATTATCTCATTATTTTAAACGATTAAGTTTTAAGCTAAGTTAGTTATAAAAAGTGAAGTTATTTGAAATACGACTGAATTCCTGTTGATTCAGCAAACGAAAAAATATATATTTGAACTATTTGGTTTGACTATAGAAAAAGAATACAAGTTTTGAACAATAAACTTCCGAAGAAAACAAAACCTAAAATATCCATACTACTCTCTGATAAGTGCGGGGGTGCCCGTAAAGACAACGAAAGGCTTTCATCCTGTCAGAAGTAAAAGAAAATAAATGTAATAGTCATTGAACGAACACACGGGCTTCTGCATTAACTCTGCTATAAATAGAACTTGTTGTAAGTTTAGCTAATCGATTTTCTAATAAGAGTCAAAACATTTTTTTCCTATCAAATTAACCGTTTTATAAATAAAATCGTTGAACTAATTTTCGTCTTCATTAAGCGGGTATTACATTTCTAAATAATTCCAAATTAAAATACTATATGGAGCAGGGTAAAAAAGTATCTTTATAAGCAGATATAACGTTTGTCGTACTATTGCATTAAAAATGATAAATAGCGTAAGTAATTATTAAATTTCGTGATGCCTTGATCAAATACAGAATTAAAAGTAAAAATATCTAGGATTTATTAAAATACATTACAATGATAATTTTAATTTAATTTACTGATAATTATTATGATTAATGGTAGCAATCGGTTTGAGTGTATATATTTAAGTAGAAAGTTAAAATGTTTCAAAAGTACAAATAAAATTAGTATATAAAAATGTATTAATTACGCTTTTTATTATAAAGTTATTAAATACATAAGATTGAAATTTAATATTCCTATATTTGTTTCTTGAAAGAAAATAAATGCCCATTTGGATCGTAAATGGAATAAGTAATAGAATTATTGCATTAAAATGGCATTGTGTGGCAAATAATTGTAAATTATTACAATTTATTTT